GGGGGGGGGGGGCGGGAGGGGGGGAGGAATTGCAAATGGCTACCTCTTCGCGTCCGCTGCTGCTGAAATTGAAATTCTCCAGACATGATGCGGGGTTGGGCTACTGAATGCCTCCACTTCGTTCTTGTTTATTTGACCTTAATGGACACGAAAATCCTTCCGAAGGGGGCACCGCAACACGCGGACATAGATCATGCACACTTGCGTTGTCTCTATTGACCTCCTTATGTGTTAGTACCAACCCTGTGTTGCCGCCTTTTCCGCCGTCCCTGCTTCTGCTGCTGCTGGTGTTGCTCTTGTTGAAACCGCCTTTGCCTCCGTTTCTGCTGCTCCTGCTGCTGTTGCTGTTGCTGCCGTCTTTGTCGTCGTTGCTGCTGCTGCTGCTGCTGCCGATTTTTTCGTGCCGTCTCTCGGCGGAGCGCAGCTCCGGAGCATTTACAACTCCCTGAGTCAAGACCCGAACTCCTTGTCCAACCTCGACCAGGATCTGCCCAACTACGCTCAGATCAGGGTGAGAGAGAGTTCAGTACCATGGTTGTCCGGTGATGCCCAAGCTAAGCTAAGCCGAACCTCTCTCTGTGTCTGGTGCGGGTGCGGTCGGAAGGCCGGCGGGAGTTTGTTCTGTCGTGATGGGCTGCTATGTGGTGCTTGCGACCAAGCTGCTGACGACCACATTTGTGTTCATGTTTATTGGTACTACCGAGGGGACGGACACGTATCGTCGGCGTTGCCAGCGCTACAAGCCCTCGTTTCGCTTCTAGACTTGGTATCGCGTGCAAGAACGCTACGCGGGAACCATCACTCGCCACCCGAGCAATACCCACACATCACCGATGTCAAAACGTCAACAGTATTGGAGGAGAGCAAGACTCACGTAAGCCCCGCAGTCTCAAAGTCACGCATACCGCACAGGCCACAGCACAACATGTGTGTTTAGATGGAGTGCACGAATCGAAGGTACCTGACGAAGTGCAGAGGGTCGGGTTACGTAGACCCTTACCTAAGCAACCCCTGAAATTCTACCTATTCCTAGAGTTTGTCCAATGTCTTTGCTTGCTCAAAATAATACATGCAGTAGGCGACTCATTGCCTGCGCGGAAAAATTGAGTTTTGAAATAGAGAGGCACGGGAAGAGTGTACCCTATTGCTCAGTCGTCATCCAGCATTCACTCGAAGTGAACAAGACCAAGGGTTGTGTGTAGACTGGCAGAAGTGGTGCGGGAGACCTGCTTTGTAGCCAATAGCATACCGTGTTCCCTTCACGGTACCATGAAGCTCCGATCAGTTTCATGTTGTCATGCCGTACTGTTTTGTAGCTGAGACAGCGTGTTTTGCGCATCAAACTCTTGTGAGAACGCGAGCTTTTGGGTGTGGCCGCCCTAGAATTGCGTCGGATGGCGAGACCCGTGTCGTTCATTGGCTTGCTAATGTAGGGTTGCGTACTTCTGGTATGGACTATATCTTCAGCTGCCAGAGTTAGCTGGGCTCGTGTCACTCAAGACGCTAGCTACCACGGTTCAGACACGGTTTGAAATGGGAGGCATATACTTCCAACATCTCGTTCTAGTCACTCAATAGGTCACTCAATACCTTGAAACCGCCAAGATTCATCTTTAGGCCTACTCTACTCTTGTGGAAGGACAGCAGAAATTGCTCTGACAGCACAAATTGCTCTGGAAACCACAGAACCAAGCCAACAGGTATGATGGCGGTTGCGACTTTTTTTTATTTTCCTACGATGACCCAACGAAGCCATCTCTAGGAGAGTTTCTAAGATAGATCAGAAATTATTGCGATCGTTGTCGGAAAATGAAAAGCAAGGCCGGTTTGGCTCGAATAGACCATCGGATGTTTGCTTCTTTTTCGTCCTCAAACCGCCACACACGTCAGACATCAACAGGGGGAATGATGGGTATGACAGGTATTGGTAGGTGCGAAGTGTTGTAACCATTGGTGGTGCACATGCGTATATAGGAGGCAAGACACGGTCTGAGCAGATTACCTTGCTGATGGTTGAACGGCAAGAAACCATACCATGGATGTAACCTTCCAAGGCCACCTGCGAGGATGGGGAACGGGAGCTTTTGTCGTAATTCCGTACCCTCTCCCCGTAGGCCACGATCAAACATGAACATTTTTTTCAACGGGAGCTACACTGCGCTCGCGAAATGTTAAATCGGCACCACGAGAGAACAAGCTTGTGAATACCGCCCGGGGTATGCATCATGGTATGCAATGAAGCTTGTGAATACCGCCCGTGGTATGCATCATGGTATGCAATGAAGCTTGTGAATACCGCCCGTGGTATGCATCATGGTATGCAATGAAGCTTGTGAATCCCGCCCGTGGTATGCATCATGGTATGCAATGAAGCTTGTGAATACCGCCCGTGGTATGCATCATGGTATGCAATGAAGCTTGTGAATCCCGCCCGTGGTATGCATCATGGTATGCAATGAAGCTTGTGAATACCGCCCGTGGTATGCATCATGGCATGCAATGAAGCTTGTGAATACCGCCCATTGTGTCAAAATGCAACGCACTGCTGTACGCCCTCTGGCGGGGATGTTATGGTGTCATTCCGTGGTGTCAATCACAATTACAGATGAACACAGCACCGGAGCGTGTTCTTCCTTTCACAGCCACACCAGGAATGCGCTTTCACATTTGCAAGTCCAGAGAGAAACCGGGACTATTTCATATGCCCACATGTGTGCACGTGCAATCACAGAAAGGTAATCTGTTCGAGATATAGCCACAGCAGTCGAACGGTGGTTGTTGGAGCCTTAGCCTGTCCGGAAATAAAGTGACCTTCGTTACGATCACACTAGTATTCGAATGGCCCTTTATGTTTCGGAACAGAGTTGTATGCCTCAGCTTGTCGTCTGTGGCAACGGCCATGGTATACCTGCCTCCTGCTCTTATTTTTTGCTGCAATGGCTGGCTGTATCGGGACTCGTGCTCGTGCGGCACTGTAATGCTCGTTTTCTATTCTTTCTGGCAGGTCCCCATCTTTTCGCTGCCGCAGGAGTGGCTGTGGTGCGAGTCCTGGTGCAGCGACGGCAGCAAGGCCGAGGCGAAGACCATCGACCTGTGCAACAACCCTCAGGTAATCATAGAATGATCGACCGTGTATGGACCATCGACCTGTGCAGCGACCCTCAGGTAATCATAGAATGATCGACCGTGTATGGACCATCGACCTGTGCAGCGACCCTCCGGCATTCATGTAACATTCACTCGTGTTTAGGCATCGACCGTCGATTGAACTCTCAGGTACTCATGGAATGATCAAAATCGTTTTTCCACCGTCCACCTCCTCAGGAAACCATAGAACAGAACAGTCAATTTGTTGCGAACAGGACCTAGAACCCTCAGGTTGTGACCATCGATCTACAACTCGAGTTGATCATAGCATAGTTGGTATCATGTTTCGACCATCGATGACCTGTGTAACAACCTTCAGGTAACAAGTCACACAAATCGTCAACCGAGTTCCGGCGGCGTCGGCTGTCTGTCTGTCTGCTGCCTGCCTGCTGCTTCATGGCCGCGAGACGGACGCGCTCGGTGTTTGGTCGTGGTGCCAAAGCTTTTTTTTTTTGCCATGTTACGAAAACACACCACTTTTCATCTCTAGCTAGCCGCAGAACAAGTTGGGTCCGGGATAAACAAACTAGCAATGCATTAGCAGCATTTTTTATTTAGGTCCGGACATCACAGAGCAAAGATTCTATTACTCTACTTGTATTTTTTTAGTGCCTGGAGGTCGGTCGTCGACGTGCCTGGCTGTGACCAGGACGAGGGACGGTATCCCAAGAACCGGGACTCGACGTTTTTGGGTTTGTTTCAGAGACGTTGCGTTGCGTGTGTGGGTGTTCCTTGCGCGTCATCGTTCGTTCGTGGCTGAAGTTGGCTTCCGTGTTTTCCGAGGCAGAGGGGCACGCCCTAGAGTTCCACACGCGCACACAAATCAAACGCGCTGGGGAACTAAAAGCGAAAACTCTTGTTGAGGTGGCGGGCGATCGTTTCAATGGTGGTGTTCCTGCGGTCTTGCCTGCAAGATGGAGTGGAAAGTCGACGTTCCTCCGATCATATTCATTTTCTTTTTTCTTCTTGTTGTATTGCTTCGGATGTTCCTGTCACCAGGAAACGGTTTATTTTGTATTTTTTTTACCCCCTGGCGGATACGCCCACACCAGTCGTGCCATTGGCTTGTTCCGTTTTTGCCCTTCGGCTTGTCGTGGTTGTAGCTCTTTCTAACTCACCCGCTTTCTAATTTTCCCTTTTCGATTTCTCGTTGATTATCGGCGCGAATTGCGTGTGGGCCCGCCTGTTCCTGTGCGCCTGTGGCTCTCTGTGCCCCTGCTGTGCCTGCGTTGTACAACTGAAACGACCCCAAAACGTCGCGTACGCGCGGTGGCGTGCATACGGTTTCTGATGCTTTGCCAACCCGCAGCACAAGGAGCCCAAGCTCGACATGGCCAAGCGAGTCATCAGCGGGTCCCTGTTCGAAGAGAGCTGGGTCGAGCTAGACGCAGAGGTAAGGGCTGCGGAGGATGCCCGTCAAGCTAAGGACAGCCGCCCGACGGGGGACCGCGGTGGTGGTGGTGGCGCAAGCTGCCACCAGAGATAGGAGACGACGGGGTTAGAGGTAGCGGGCGTGGTTGGAGCACGGGGGGGTGTTGGAGGTTTGGGCGACCAACCAGGGGGAGGAAGAGGTGGGCAGTGCGTCGGGCTTGGGGGTCGCGCGTGCTGTAGCTTTGCTGCAGTGCTACGCTGCTGCCCCTACTTCTTCCACACCGAGCTCGGCTGATTCCTGGTGGGGGAACCGCGGCTGGCGGCACAAAAGCTATCCACCTTAAACGTTTTCTAGATTGTTGCGTGGGGGCTATGGATGGTGGGGCACGTTATCCCGCAATGATGACGTGGGGGCACAGTTCCACCACGTTGCCCCATTCAACGTCACTCCATTCGAAAGGACGGGGTATTCTGCTTGTAATCGGGTAATTTTGGACGTAAGAAATGCGCTTGGCATTGCATGCAGCGGTTGAAGATGGCCAGGAAGGGGTGAAGGACGGGGGGGGATGCTGTATGTGTGTGGTACAACCCAACCTCATATTTCGTACAGTATAGATCCTACCGCGGTGTGACGTTTTGGTGTCAACTAGAGGCTAAATGAGCAGGCACATGAGTGGTTGTCCAGCTCGGGTCTGCTTCGCGCAGGCACTGCTCCCTCGGCCCTCGAACGTCTTGCCACAGCTGTGGGCGCTCCTTCGTTTATGGTCTAGTCTGTCGCTGGCACCACCGGTGCTGCGAGAGAAATGGAGAGAGCGAGAGATTGAGATTTTGAGATAAAGACAGAGAGAGAGAGAGAGAGAGAGAGAGAGAGAGAGCGAGAGAGATGGAGAGGGAGAGAGAGAGAGATGGAGATTTTGAGAGGAAGAGACAGAGAGAGCGAGAGAGAGGG